CTACTACTACTACTACTACTACTACTACTACTACTACTACTACTACTTACTACTACTATGACTAGGACTACGACTACGACGACGACGACTACTACCACTACTAGTAGCTACTACTACCACCAACACCAGCACCACCACTACTACCTACTACCTACTACTGACTTTCTGATGAAATCCAAAAAACGTCTAGGGTTCAATGCCTATAAACTTCGTTTAAAAAAAACAATCGTTTGAGTAGATCAATAAGGGTGCCCCTCACAAGGGCCGGTCCCCTTCAATAATCTGCACTACTACCCCCTATTAGCTTGATCCTGTGTCCATGCGTCGCTGCGTCCCTTTTGTTGGCTTGTTTTTGCTTATTGAACTTACTACGACTACCACTACCCCTACCACTGCTGCTGCTGCTGCTGCTACTACTACTACTACTATGATGACTGAGACTGAGACTGAGACTGAGACTGCCACTACTACTGCTACTTCCACTACTACCACTACTACCACTACCACTACCACTACCACCACTCGCTTCTTAGCCGATTAGCAAATTATTCAGGGGAGGTGGACCTCATGAGTGGTATCTCATATCTTCTTGACCTTGTTGACCTACCATGTGGGGGGGCGGTTGATTAGTCAGGTCTTTGCATTATAGAAATAACATTGTGTAGTACTTTTTAATAATGAACATTGTGTAGTACTTTTTAATAATGAAAATAGGGTATTGTATGGCTTCCAGTCTGAAGCCATGGCTTCCAAATTCAAAGTTTTGGAAGGGCTTGTAAACATTTTGATTTGAACACAGTTCATTGTACCCTTCTGATTATTTCCTTCTGAGAGTCGTTTATCTGTTTGTTCACCATCTTTTACATTGGAGCCAAGACACAGCTAACGTGTCATTCTTCCCCCATACTTCCCCCTGCATCCCCCTGCCCAACTTGTTCTACAAAGTGCAAGTCTTTCTATATTTACAAGATGCAAACCGGCGAGTTGAAAACCATCTTCAATGGGAATGACCACATTTGTCTACAGAATCATACAGAATCACACACCTGCAATTCAGCATATTCTGGGCGCAAAAACGCCCCCTCTACGAAATGCCAAACCTGGAAATGCAGGACACGTTTTTCTGTTTAGAAAAATGCCTGGCTGCAGTGAAAACATGCAGGGAAAAATAGACATGATTTTACATACATATATTTGTCAAAGGCATAGATTTATGCACACACCAAACAAAGGGCCTCACAGTTACACTGGCTAAACTCACGCGCCAACTCGATCTACTGAACGCACATGAATTTGCGTCCCCGAGGAGTCTGTTCGAAGACCGGACACGGCGGCCTGACACTGCGAGAAGAGTGGCAAAATGGTGGTGCCAGCATGGCCTCCTTGGCATGTCCACCATTCAATTTCAACAAAGAGAATGCCCAAGACAATCTACCAAAAAGCGCATGTTTGGGATTGCTTGAAAACTCTCAGAAGAGTCCGACTTGCCCAAGACGCCCAGGCGCCCTGGCCTTCTAATGCCTTCACCCAAATGTTGGCAGAAAAAGGTGAGCCCAGCAACCATGGGGGGCGCCAACCATCGAGCCTTGCTTCCCTTCGCTTCCCTTCGCTCCGACCCCGTCTTTCGGAGCTCCGTCTCCCCGGTCGTCGGACGACCGCCGAGGAGCCGATCACGGGCACCGAGACGTCGCTCATGGGCGCCCCCGTCATCTCGTGGACGAACTTGTCGGCGCGGACCACATCGAGCGTGGTGATCTGAGCGCGGTTCGCCCAACGCGGCCAACGCGAGGCCAATGCCCGGGACGCGAAGCATGGATGGTGAACAATGGTTGGCCTGGTCTGAAGTCTGAAGAAGGCACAGTCGGCTCCATCTTGAAACAAGTCGAGGAGTGGTGAACAATGGTGGAAAACCTATTTATAGATGGAATCAAATGGATCTAGCGATACCCGTTTTGTGGTGGCCCTGATCGTCTGACAGGGCTTGGTGCACAGACCAAGCCAACCTACCCCTCTTCATGCAAAAAGTTGTCAAACCGCAAGTTTGGGATCCCAGCTCATGTGATGTCCAAACACCAGTAACTGGAACTTTGGATATAGCCTGGTATGACACTGAACGCTTCTGTTCTAAACAAGTGAACACTTCTTGTACCAATACAGTTTTAGACCCAAACGATTCCTTTTCGCCACAAATACTCGATCTTGGGGACGGCACTCCGACAATCTTGGCAGGATTCAAGCCTCGGCGGTGGTAGAAACGCAGAGATTCCGGTCGTGTCGCGTGTCGTGTCGCGTGTTCGAAGTCGTATTGTGTCGTCCTTTGTTCGAAGCCTACGTGTCCTTTTGTTGTTTGTTCACCTGCAACGAGAAACAAAAGCTGAACTCTGAGAAGTCTCACCCTTCTTCTTCCACATCTCGCACATGGCAGGCACCACAGAATTCACTGGATTGACGATGAGCCCAACCACAGCCTCGAGAGCTTGTATCAAAGTGAGATCCGGAACAAAAACGAGTCCTGACTTTAGAGAACCCTCCTTCCTTCAGTCTATGTCTCAGTCATTCTCAGTCTCTTCAGCCTCTGGGCAAAACTTGGCGCAGGCTTCTACAATGTTCTTGGCCTCGTTTCGCATCCGAACATGGTCGAACTGCGGCGGGCTCACCCTTTAAGGCACCAACGATACCAGCATTGATGTTGAGAAGGTCCTTTCTGTCCTACAGCGCAGAGTGGCCGCCCCCGGCGGGCGTCACATGGTGTAACCGCGGCGCACAGGGTCTGTGCGGGCAAGCAGAACTTGTTGGAACAGCCCCCCTGAGAGAATGGAGCAGAAACTCGTCAGGGGGCAATCATGAAGGAAAATGGTCTGCCAGGGGCCTCCAACGTAGATTCTTGCTTGATAAACCCCTCCATTGAGATTGCAAAACCTATTCCTATGCAGGGGTTCTGAAAAAATGCCACGGTTAAAACAACATGGCACCCGGCAAGACTGAGCTGCTTCTCGACTTGCGAGGGCCAGGCTCGCTTGCGATTCGACGCCAAATTACACGAGATGAGTATACAACGGAGATCCCGTCCAATCACTCCGAATACAAGCTGCGAGTGGTAGGAGCATACAAACATTTAGGAACATGGCTCCAGACTAATGGAGGATTTGCTAGGGACGTAGCAATGAAATTTGCTATTGCGCATGATGTGATGACACGTTTTCGTAGCCAGATCTTTTGCAATCGTGGATTAGATCTGCAGCATAAACGGCAGTTCCTGCATTCTATGGTCCTCAGTGTGGTTATCTTTAATGCTGCTGTGTGGGAACCACACACTGCACGTCAAAAGAGCCAGATTGACAGAGCCTTCTTTTGTTTGTTTCGCCGTTTTGCAGTGAATCATTTTGGGAAGAGAGCCTTACACTGGAATGCGACACAGCTGTACAGCCAAGCTGGTCTCCCTAGCCCTACGGCAGTGTTGACGATCGCACGGCTGAGATATCTGGGTTAGCTTCTTCGGACTGCCCAAGAGCACACCTGGGCTCTCCTCCAGATGAATCCTGATTGGATCAAAACTCTTGCTAAAGATGTCGGTTGGTTCCACGACCATTGCCCGGAAAGAGGACTTCTAGACTCCTTTAAGGACGACTGGGAAACTTTTGCTGGTGTGATCAGGGAAAAGCCTGGTCGATGGAAATCGTGGTTGAAGACGGCTTTGCAGCGCCACATGTCTTCTATCCAACTGGAACATGAATGGTTTTCATGGCATGCTGACATTCGAAAGACGCTGCTTGACCATGGGTATCAGCCAAAGAAGATGGTTGCTCCGGCGCAACTGAGCCACTATTGTCTCCAATGTTGCCGGATTTTCCGTAGACGCTCCGATTTGGCCGTCCACAGCTTTAAGAAGCATGATAGAGTTCGAGCTGTGAGGCATTTCGTCATTGGAGTTCAATGTGAAAGCTGCCTGAAAACATTTGACCAACATACCGATCTATTGAATCATGCTTCAAGAGGGTCATGCTATGCCTTCTATGCACAGAGGGGGATTTTTGTCGACAGACAGCCAGGCGTCAATAGCCGACAAGCTAGACAGCCTCTGCGAGACCCCTTTGTACAGGGAGAAGGTCCAGCCTGCCCACCGCTTGATACGGTGACTCTTTCTGGGCCCCTTTCGATGGAGACCCAGAATCTCAGGCAGAGGTGGACAGAAGCGTGGTGCTCTGATCCACTGGAAGACAAGCTTGAATTGCTGCGACAAGCCACTCTCGGAACGTACCTCTACCATGAGGAAATTCTTGACACCTTTGATAAATGGTGGCAAGAGCTTCTCCTGACTGAAACTGTATACCTCCAACATCTGGGCGTGCATGATGCATTTGTGAGCTTTGCCGATGGGGAGTGGTTCCTTCAGGATACGAGTAGTTGTCAACGTCCCGAGATGCGAGAGTCTTGTTTTGACTTTTTTGAGCTTGAATCACAGAGTCTAGATGCGATTTCTCTAGATGTGCCACGTCCGGTGCAATACAAAGCCTGTGTGATTGCCCACCTGTTCTCAGGCGCAAGACGCCCTGGAGACTTCCAGTCACATATTGAGGCGATTGGAGGAACTGCGATTTCCATAGACATAGTGTTTGACCTGAAATGGGGTGACCTGTTGAATCATGATACATTTATGCTGTTCGACCGAGCCCTCAGAGAGGGGGTCCTTCCAGGCTATCTTGCGGGCGCTCAGACCTGGTCGCGTGCTCGAGCTGTACGCTCTGCGGACTACAATGTTCGTCCAGTCCGAGACAGACGAAGGCCATATGGCCTTCTTTGTTTGAATAAAAAAGAGGCTTCACAAGTTTTGGTTGGCACCAAACTGTTGGGAGTCAGCATGCGATTGTTCTGCACGGCCCTGCTGTATAGAGCGACTGCTGTTATTGAACACCCGGCAGAACCGACAGATTTACCCGAAGCAGCGGCTATCTGGCGCACAGCGCTCGTCCAATTTGACCAGCGTTTTCGAGATTGTGATAAGCTTTTCCTGTTCCAAGGGCATTTCGGCGGGCATTCGGCCAAACCCACCGAGTTCTTGGTTGCCCATGGAGAGTGTTTGAAAGATCACCTGATAAGTGGACGAACATCTCGATTACCTCGTGGTGGATGCATTGGACGTACTGAGCAAGGAGAGTGGGCTACATCCAAGCTCAAAGAGTATCCCTCAGTGCTCTGCTCGAGCCTGTTTACAGTCTCAACCGGAGCATGAGGTTGGTGAGGTTCTTCCTCAGTGGTTTGTTGGGGCCATTGAACATCTGCAGTCTCACTTTGACGAGACTGCAGTGCGTGGCCCCGACTACCGACCAACAGAACATGCTCATGTCCGATCTAATTAGTAATTCGTGCTGCAATGTCGGCCACGAGCGAGACGCTTTCGGCATCATAGAAAGAAAAGAAAAGTCCTGCCCAGGCTTTCGAGGTACACCCGCAGGCACCAGCACCAAATGACAGCCAGTCAAACAATCGCCAGCCTCGCCAAGAGAAGTGCTGGAGCCGGTGGACAGCGACCGCCTTTTGACGGACCACCGCTGCTTCTTTGGACGGAGCGGCCTTGTCAATTGCCTTGTCATCCTTGTCAAACGCATAGCCCTTGACCTTCAGACGGGCCGTGGTACTATTGTAGCTCCTCCTATAGGAGCTCTAAACACAAACATCCAACTTCGTACATCATGTTGTAAACAGTTGTATTTCTAGACCCTACTACACGTCCTCATAAGACCTGCAGAAACTCAAGCGTCCTCTGCGAAAGACAAGACACCTTGCACTTCATGTTCAAGTGTGACAGGTCGGCAGCAACACCTTCTGCTGGCACCATCGCCATGGTTAAATCCTGAGCCAAAAAAGGGCACAGCAAAGAATCGCCAGCCTCAAAAGGAGAAAAGAACGGGTTTTCGAAAGCCCCATCTCTTCATGTCGATTCGTCATTGGGATTGGACCCCCCTCCACGCAAGCGCTTGGCTACTCAGACTCCTCACGGAAAACACCTCTCTCAGGCTGCATCATACACGCAGAGCTCGGAGACGTTGGGGTCCATGGCCATGAGCATGCTCAGCGGCTGGCCAATGCCGCCTGCACCGCCAACCACACAGACCTGCAAGAGAGAGAAGGAGAATTGGTAGGAATTTCAATTGGAATGTTGAATTTGTAACATAAACAGGAGAGGTGAAGCAGGTCTGTCAAGTCAAGTACCTTGAAGTTTCCTGCCATGGCTGTACAAAATTGGCGCACAAATCGGCTAGCAAAACGGCTGCTGACGAGCAAATCCAACAAACATGACTGTGAGTCAAGTCCGGGACTGTCGTTGGGGCCCCGGGGACTAACGAGCAGAATGGGGCCCTTGGGAGTCTTTTTTGCTTCCTGCGCGAGCATCTCCACGGGCTCTGGATTTGAGCCCCTACTTGATTGGGGAGACACCGCAACCCGCTTTAAAACATGCAGGACTGTGGAGGGTCTTGAACTGCACAGCCTTTGAAATCTCTACAATAGATGAAATCCAAAAGCCCGAGCGGTTTACAGGGTATCCATTCACAGGCAAAGCTGCACAGATTTCACTGAGCAAGCATTCCTTAAAAGTTACCGCAAGCGTTGCTTCATGGGCGCATCAGGTTCCATCAGGGCAGTTTGTATGATCCCTCCTGGAAGACCCAGATTTCCATGGCTACAAGAGCGTCACAGCTTGCACTGTCCACATGGCTAAGACAATGCGAAGCACCCAGAAAACCGAGTCCTTGAGTCCAGTCACATGACCCCTAGGCACGAGCGCGAGGGCACGAAGCGGGTCGCGTGGTTCGGAAGGCACGTTTCGCACGTTCGGCGGGAGCACGAAGCGGGTCCAAGCAAGGCGCACAACGGCAAGTGCAACGTCGAGGGATAGGTATCTTCCTGGGCAAATTCGTGGATACACCTTCTCCTCAGTGCATTTCAAAGGCGGGCTTCTGCAGCCACAGAGGTTTCTTGAAGAAACTGATCTATATATCTTGTGTCGATAGCACCAAAAACTCATCGTATGCTGAAGAACCTGATCTCGTTCCAAAAACCCAAGCGACCAACAACTGCTTTGTGCCCCTCACTTTGGGGTCATCACAGTCACCACCGATGGAGAAAAGCACTCTGCGTGAAAACCTCCCGTTCGGTCTTCGGAAAATGAGTCTTCCTTCTATCCACGGGCCATGGCTAGATGTCCACCAAGTGCTACTTGATGGCTCGATTCCAAACAGTGCCATGGCTAGATGTCCCTCAATTCCATGATGTCAACCTTCCGGTGGCTTTGCTGACAGGTCCCCCCATCTTCACCGAAAGTGTCCAGTTCCGGCCGTACCGAGGCGCTTCGTCAGGGGTTCCGAAGGCTCCGTTCCAGGTGAGCGCCTGGCTGAGCTCCTGGCACGGTTCTGGGCGGCGTGGGACGGGTTCTGGGTTTGGCATCAAACCGAAAAAACGGGTCCAACAATTAGCAAAAAATAATGTAAATTAATCGTAAAACATCGTACATCTGCTTCTCAGGTAGGCTTCAGCAGGGTTTCATTATCTTTCATCCACTTAAGAGCCCAAACGCCGTGCGGACGCGCGCGGCGTCGTCGATCTGTCTGTGCCGTACTCTGAGACCTGCTCCGTTCTCCTTGCGGCTTGGATCGAAGACATCCGGATTGGGGAAGATGCTGGGGTCACGGTTGGCCATGGAGAGCACATACTGATTCAAGGTATTCTCCGACATGGTGTAGTCCCTTCCTCGCAATTTGATCACCTCAGTTGGTTGGTTTAATAAGTCATATCGCCTGCCTGCAAAACAACTGCTAAGACGTCATCGTTTTTGCTGAAGCAAGTTCAGTCACCCTTTCCTCTTTGGAGACGTTGGTCGCACTGGTCACAGGAGGATCTATACGGCAGGACTCCTGGCAGAAATACAAAGATGTTCGCAAGCAGGAAAGAGCCAATGAACTTACGAAAGAATTCTCGTCCGGTCCTTGATGTATGCAATCGGGTTGCTGTTGAAGGCTTCCACCATGGATTCATTTGTTGGGAACCTTGCTGCGACATATGTGTCAACATCTGGCTTTTTGCTCTGGTGCTGGTTTGTCTGACCAGTGACGTATACCATGCGTCTAGATTCTCGCTGCTTACTTCCCATGTACCTGTTTCATGCTTGTTCTTGCCCCTGATCCCCCTGGCTCGAAACACCACCCACTCCAAACCCTGCTCCGCCCGATTCACCCTGCGCGACGCTGCCCACAGCAAGGGCAAGCCGACGCCACGAACGGAACGGAAAGGGGAGCCAGGCACCCGAAGGGTGGCATGCGCCACTGGACTGGACCACAAGTGCTGCCAAGAGATTTGGACGAGAGAAGTGCAAGACATGCAAGTACCCTATGCCACGCAAGCGACGCAAGTCAGACATGCAAGTGCATGTCTTAAATCCAGTGTCTTCTGCACAACGCTTCTGCAAGTACATCCATGGCCATGCATGCACAGACGTCTGCAAACGTGCATAAATATGCATAAATGAGTGACGCTGGTCCACATGAAACTGATATTTCTTTGGTCCTGCTCAATTGCGATCCGCCACAACTGCATTTTCAGGACATATTGAGTAAGACAGGAAGCTTCTCAAAGTTGATGAGGTGGGCACTGGCTTCTTCAGGAATCTTTCCTTAGAAAACTAAAAACCTGTCAACATGAGGTGCACATGGTGCGAGCAGGGCCAAAAGATGGGATATCTCCAAGTCACGTTGGAGGAAAGCTCCCACTGTCTCACAGCATGCAGATGTTCCTCCAATACCGGCGAAACCAACTGCAAACCTTACCATAGCGCTGCGACACGTAGTCTCCGGCGGCTCTCTCTCTCTCTCTCTTTCTGGCCGCCCGAGGCACATCATCTCATCGCACAACTTCACAATTGGGGTCCTGGTGATGGAAGTCGAATCTTCCAACTCGCAAAAGACGAGAGATCGAAGCAAACCGAACACGGTGTTTTTTCCACAGCAAAAGGGAAAGGATTCTCTATGACACGACAATAGTATGGCAAGTCTCCTTCGATATTTTTCAGGCAACTTTTCGTTGATGTCCATAATGAAGGATTCCAAACCATGCTTCTCGATCAAGCCGACCTCATCACATGCCCCGGTCGTTTTTCCCCAACACACCGTGTGCCCGGGTGAGAACCCACCCCTGCCGTGCACTGCCGCGCACCGTCTTGACACGAAGACCCTGCACTCGGCAGATGCCGAAATTGAAGAGGAATCGGTGCACCAAGCGCGGCAGAACAAAGTACCTTAGGCATCAGCATATTGCGGAACTGCTGGAGGTTTGAGACTTTGAGGAACAATGGAATGATATGGAATGGGTGGAAGAAGAAGAAAAAAAATATTCCAACATTGGCTTGGTGGCACTGCCATATCTCGCCAGCCTTTCAGAATCTCTGCATCTTCCTTTGAAAACCAAATCCCGAACATCATGTAGAAAACGCATTTGCTGACCTTACAAACTCAAGATGCAATGATTCGAGCAAGTCCACAGCAGGAATATATGGTCCGAGTCCAAATAGTTGCAAACATGGGCACACGTCTGGAGATCTTTTTTGCTAAAGGAACAAAAGTACGCGCATTGCTCGGGTCATGAGTGAGCAGCTCTCTCAAGAGTAGCAAACGGATCAAAGGAGAAAAAAGGAGAAAATGCGCAAATGTGAATGTGCCTCCCGTTGCTTGCCATGCGGGAAGGAATTTATATATATGTCACTTCACTCAGTCATGCATTGAAGCAGCCTTCCTTTTCAGGGTTGCGCGAGTCACGACAGTGCATGAACCTGCCTCTACCCACTGCTGTTCAGCGGGTAGCTAAGAACAGACCATGGCCGCTCGAGATACCCCACTGAGAACAATGGAGTTCTTTTCCATGGCCTCTCTATACCTTCCCCCTTGCTGATAAGTTTGGTGGTGAATAGGGGTGGTGGGCCCGAGAATGGAGCGTCTCGAGCCGCCACTTATCAGCGTTACGTGACACACTGTGATCTACGATCAACCACAGTCATGCATTGAAGCAGCCTTCCTTTTCAGGGTTGCGCGAGTCACGACAGTGCATGAACCTGCCTCTACCCAATGCTGTTCAGCGGGTAGCTAAGAACAGGCCATGGCCGCTCGAGATACCCCACTGAGAACAATGGAGTTCTTTTCCATGGCCTCTCTATACCTTCCCCCCACTTTAGTGTATAGTGAGGCCCGCACCGCCCCAACTCAAACATCTAGGACAACGACCACGGAGGGAACAAACGACGCGCGATCGATTTGACCCCCTGCCTTCTTCACCAAGGATCTTGCCAGCGCATCTGCCCCTTCTTACTCTTCACCTTCTCCTTCTCCTCTTTCAGACTGGCCAGCTTCGCTTCCTTGGGTGTCTTGCGCAAGCGCAGCTCACGATCGAGTTCGCCAGCCTTCGTCAGCAGGCGGTTCATCACAACGAACTCCAGCTCCTCGAACTGCACGACAATCCTGCTTCTTTCGTCGAAGTCCTCGAAGCGTTCGTTGGTCAGGTCATCCGCCTCTTGATTCTGCCAACGAGGCACCCACTGAAGGTCGAGATCCACTCCATGACGATCCAGTTGGGTTGCTAGCTCCATCGCAATGATGCTGAGCGGGTACTTGCTACTGCCGAACTTCTTCAGGACATGGGCGTATCCCAGATTGTCTGTCAGGGCTGTCAAAGTGGCTGCTGCTTCTCCAGATGCCCAGGCCGCCCCAGGCGCAAGGATCATGACAGCTGCAAGCACTCCCACCAGCTCCAAGCTCGCAATCGATCTGAAAGGATCCCCTTTCAAATACGCCCACGGCGCGTTCTTCCGGTTCAGCCTGATGGAGAACCACCTCGCAGCTTTCTGCTCCAGCCGCCCCCAAGTTTCCCAGCCTCCAATGACAATCTCCTCTCCCGCAGCCTTAGCGTCCACTCGGAAAATGTCAACCGGGGCCGACCTGAGCGGCTCCAGTGGTCTAGTCGGCTTCCGAGACACCTCCTCCTTGATGTACTCCAGAAGTATGACCACTGCGTCAGGAAAGCTGGCGAACGTTCCACCTGCCAGTGCAGAGGACCAGGCAAACAGCGGCGCCAAGAAGGGTCTCACGTGACGAAGTGCCCCCGCCACGAAAGATAACCTGCCCAGCACAGATTTCAGCTCTCTGCCAACTACACCTCCTTGGCGAAGCCTGTCATCAATCCACTTCACGATCCAAGCCTTCTTGGAGTCATTGATACCACGTTCGAACTTCGTGATATCCAAGTGGTAGCCTATCCAGTCCACCTCTGCACCTCCACGCACCTTCTTCCACGTGATGGGAACCTCCAAGAGCTCATACAGGAAGAACCACATCAGAACCTTCTTCCAAAACCTCTTACCTGTCGCAGCCAACCAGCCGTCGTCAGCGTAAATGAGGTGCAAGAGGCCCATGTGCCTGCCCATGATCCTGTGACAGGATCTCACCACCACTCCCATAGCCCTGCCGAACCAATAGGCGGCACTGGCAATTCCGAAGGTGCCCCTCGTGTGAACGAAGACGTCCTTAGAGGGATCGCCCGGCAACCTGAAAGTGTGCAGCCCCCAGTCCTCCTCCGCCACCGGGATAAGTTTGTGCGCACTGGCAATGTCATACAAGACGGAGAACCTCACCGCTTCTCCACTCTCTGACCTCTCCGTCTCCACCTGACGAAGGACGGCAGCTGCATCATCGATCAGGGGGAACCGCATACGGTCTCGAACACGAATGCGTCGATTGACGTCCACACTGTAGGCGCCGTCGCGTATTAGGCGGACCCTTGTCGTTCCCAGCTCTTTGGGAACAGCCCCCAAAGCCGCCACGGCCAGCCTCCCCCCCGAACCTTCTGCGGGCTTCCTCCTCCAACATCCTAACCTTCTCGACCTCCTCCGAACCTGTCTGGCGATGGCCGAGATGTAGTTCTCAGAGAGGGTGTCTTGGAAGTCTTCGTCGGTGGGATCGACGGTCCACTTCAGCTTCTCCTCGGCCTTTCTTCGTCCACACCAAGCTTGACTCCCCTCTTGGCGACTTCCCCCAGAAACTGCCAGTCCTCGTCACCCAGCGCCTCTGCAACCGCAGCGACACGACGGAAGTGGATCTCAGTCTGCCTGTCGCCGGCCAATCTCGCGGGCTTCAGGCCCCGCTCTGTTAGCCACAAGTCCAGCCGCTCTCGAAAACCAAAGATCTCCCAAACGGGGTCCCGTCCAGGCGTCCGGCTGCCATCGACCAGAAGATCTTCTTGGCCTTCTCCTCGCCTTCCAGTTCAACCCAATCTTCAAACGCTTTGAGGCACCACCTGGAAAGCTCGCGACCTCGCTCTTCAGCTGGCGCCGTCCTCCTGCCCACCGGCCATCTTCCCGGTGAGCATAGTCCAGCCCCATCGTGAAGCGGTCTGAGATCACCCTTGTATTTTGTCTGCATGGGAGGGCCCACCCCGGGCCTACCCCCACCAATGTTGCTCAATGCACTGCTGTCACAGCTGCCCAATGCTCTGGTGTTCGACTTGCTCGATGCACCGTTGCTCAACTTGCTCAATGCACTGTTGCTCGACTTGCTCAATGCACTGTTGCTCAACCTGCTCAATGCACTGTTGCTCGACTTGCTCAGTGCACTGTTGCTCGACTTGCTCAATGCGCCATCGTTCAACTTGCTCACTGCACTGTTGTTCGACTTGTTCAATGCCCTGTTGTTCGACTTGCTCAATGTTGCACCACCGACCTCTGCATCTGCCTCCATCCTTGTCAACTTCTTCGGTCGAGGCTCCTCCATATCCCGCGTTTCCAGCGCCCTCTTCCGTTGTACCCCCTCTTTAGCTGAAGAGGGTGCGCCCTGGGCCTGTAGATCCTGCCAGATGGCTTGGGCAATGGCACGGTCCATAGGTTCAGGATAGATAGATGTGGCTGTGGTACGGAAGTCAGGATCATCGTGAGCGCGAGCCAGGGAAACTGTTGGGTGACACTGACACAACTTAGTAGCAGGCCCTGCGTAACTGCCATCTGCATGGAATGAGGGCCATTCATTAGGTCCCCAAGACCTCAAAGCTGTCAAATTTGCCAGCAATCGCGTTGGCTTGCGATAGGGCGCAGACCAGCAGCACTGATTGAAGACCACGGTGTAGAGGCCGAGCTTGTTGTCAGCCACTGTGCTCTGGCGCAGTGAGGGGAGTTGCCAGATAGATGCTGGTTGCATCTTCATACCATCCTCCTCCCGCCACATAGCGCCCAAATCTTCGGGATGTTCGCCGAAGACCAACACCAGGTGCCCTGTGGATGCATAGGGGTGCTGCTCCAGAAGCTCGAGGACTTTGATCATGAAATGAATCAGTGTGTTGCCCAGGAGTGCATCTTTCTGGTGCTTGTTTGACAACCATGGAAACCCCATGGATGATCCTTGGATCGAATCATAGGTGGAACCCTTTTGTTGGCCCCCCGTACTCTGGACCATGTGGAGCAGGGAGGTGTAATGAGGACCACGTCGTAGTAGCCTGCTTGCAGCTGTGTCAACAACTTCTCCTGCAGCTTAGGATCCGTAAGATCCCAATCGGGTGAATTCTGAATGTCAATCTCGTGCACTTCAAACTCGAAGTCGGATCCTTTTGCCAGTCCTCGCAGAAACTCAGCTATGGGTGCTTTCCTCTGTGCACCGCTGAACAGGTATAGGATCCGACATGTTCGTGTGCTCCTCGTTGCGCCCTGTCCCCCACGAGGAGATGGAGCTTTCTCCTCCCGATCGGCCTTTCAGGCCGCCTTTCCTCCATCGGCCGCAGCCCCGGCCGTGTCCTTCTTGCCTGATGCCTGCCACACTGATAAGGACATCTCTCTCTGGGGTTGTTCCATTTCCAGCAAATCTGTCGACCATCTGGAGTCTTGTCGCGCATCTGCCGACCCTTCTTGCCTTTTCCCTTTCCTCCCCCCTTCTTGCTCTTGCCTTTGCCTTTGGGCTGCTCGTACCTGTCACCATGCCACGGATGCCAGCTCCTGGGAGGACTTCGAGAACGAGCGTACACCCCTTTCGATGATGTGGTGACCGTGACCTGCGAATACACATTGGGGGTGAGGAAGTATCTCTCTTTGACGGTCGTATCTGTCATTGCCTCCTTCAGGGCTTCAACCATAGTGGCGCCCTCGTTGATGAGCTTCACCATTTGACGTATCACCTGAAAATCGTAAGAGAGGATCAGGTCGAAATCTGGCCTTGCAATGACGTCACCGCCCTTGTTGAGAGCCTTCAAACCCAGAACATGGTCACCAAGCATCAAATCCAAATACTTGAGGAAATGCTGGGGCTGGAGATCACGAAGGCTCGCTTTCTGGGGGTACTTGAGCTGTGCCAGCAAGTACGAATGTGCAACAACTGCCATCCTCTTCCTGAACTCTTCAGGGCTACGGGGTTTCTGGCATTCCCCGTAGCCTTTCTTGATCTTCAAGGTCCCCGTGCTCTTCTCCACCATCGCGCCCAGCACGTCTGCCTCAGCGTCCTCTCTGCTCAGGAAAACTGCACCAGGCTCATATTCTTCATCTCTCCCTGCTCGACCTGGTCGAAAATCTGCTCCAGCGTCGATGCTGCAGGTGTGTTCCGATCCTCAAGCTTCACTCCATGAAGCTTCTGGAACTTGACCAAGAGCTCCTGTATCTCTACCTTGCGCAGTGCCCTTACGCCTGCCTCTGCCTCCGCTTTGTTCCGCACGGTGATCCTGGTGTTTGCCGACTCCCATGCGTCCACCAGCGATGCGATCTCCACCGCATCGCGTGTCTCGTCTTGTCCAAGCGCGTCCACGCAGAACTTCCTCATTCCTGCCCGATCGTCGGCCACCGTGCTCATGCGGCTCATACTTCTGACCTTTGCCACAGACAACTTCGCCTGAAGCACCTCATCCACCTCCTTCACTTGCAACAGCCCACGCAAGTCTGCATCCAGCAGGGCTATCGCATTCTTGCGTCTTTCATCGGCGTCGTGCCCGATGCCCGCCATTTCGGGTCCCAACTAGCACCCGCGCCGGCCCACCTAGTCCGCCGGCGCGCCCACGGCCCTCTCTTCGACTTAGGCCCAAATCCTCCGCGCATGCCACCTGTCATGCTCAACAATCCAAAATCAAATGCGCCACGACTGCAAGCAAACCAATCCAAACAGTTCACCCTACGACAACACACAGCGTCAAGAAGAACAACATCAAGTCCAATGCGCATCTGCAGACCTCGTACCTTTATGCCTTTACAACCCGCCGTTCGACAATCGACCCGACGTTCGACCGAATTCGGACATGTCAGTCGTGCCTCGCTAGCTAGAGACTATCTTCATTCCACATGTGGCATCCTAGCACTACCGCTCCCATGCCACACCTATAGCCCGTGCGGTTTTCACTCACGAGATGAGCCGTCTGCGCCATCCTTCATCCCGTGCTATCCGATGCTGACTCCGTCATCTCCGACGAAGACACTTCTCCCGAGGAATCATCCTCGAGAGCTGACATCGCCTGCGAATCGGCTTTGCCAAAACACTGCCGGCAAGCCCTATGATACTGCGCCGTACTGGGAGTCTCTTCCCCCAGTACCTCAAAAGTGGCGTAATGTACACCTGGCTGCCTGTGGCATTCGCCCACACGATGGAGGGTTCTGGTCTTTGACCTTCCCACGATCGAAATCACGAATGTACCCGCTACCTTCTCTAGCGGGACAACTTTCGTCGGCTCGTTCTCCTCTTCCGATGCCTCCTCCTTGACTGGGTCAGCCGGCTGCGACTCCGCCGCGACTTCAACCATCTCTTCATTGTCCTCCACAAAGATCACTGGGCCCGTGGTGGTCCACTTCGGCATCCGACAGGCCTTCGCGGCGTCTTCCCCCGGCATGAAGGTCATCAGCCTCATCAGCTGATCATCGATGGCAGACCTCTCATAGCCCATCGCCTCCATCCTCTGCTCGATGAGCTGGACCGCCGTCGTCTCGTCGAATGGGTCTGACTTGGCACCGTTCTCCTTGATGAACAGCGCCAGAACCTTCTGGAAGCGCAGGACGTTCGTCCTCACGTTCCTCTCGTAGCCCTCGTCCGCAGTAGGCCTCCAACGACCAATCATCTTCCTCACGTCTTCTGGCACCCGGGCCGCCTGCGCCCAGGTGCGTATGGTCGCTCTCTCGCTGTGCTCGGACCATAGCATGCCAAGCCCCTGCTCCAGCAATGGTTTGCCTCCCGCCTTCCGGTCAATCGAGATCTCGTTGAACAAGGCTTAGGACATTGCTGAGGCTATCGGGACCATCTTTCTCACAAATCCCGTCCGTGACCAATTCGGCCACGGCAGCATGAAGTCACGCGTCAACAGGCCCGCCTCTATGCTCATGCTGTTCCACAACCGCCAGCCCACCATGAGCCACGATTTCTCGCTCAACCACGCCCCCTTGCTGACGTAGAACGGCAGATAGAGAATTCGTTTTCCCGGCCCTGATGTCTTGGACCGGCTGATCACTCCTCTGAGGCCCCATTCTGTCACCTCCATGGAGCGATTCGTGGTGCCCTTTGCGTCGTCGAATCTCATGCCTGTCCACAGCTTCACCAGCCTAAACCAGGCATAGACCCTGGCATACGGAGTCTCATCCTCATTGCATACATGGATCTCCCAGGCAATGACGACGGACACCGGCAGCAGGAGGGCCTGCTTCCAGGGCTTCAGCTCCACAGTCTGCAACCGAAGGGAGGCCTCCTCCAAGACATTCTTCACGGCCGGGGACCTGCAATTCTGGTCAGCTTCTGGCACTTCTCCAGCATACTCCAAGAACATCAATGCCTTGTAGACCGACTCCGGGAAGCTCCTCGAGCATGGTTCTTCGACCATGGCTTCAATGAACTCTGCGAACTGCTCGGGCGACTGCGGCCAAGGTTTCCCGAACACTGCATCAAGCCACCGTCCAGCCTTGGCCCATGTTTTGATATGTCGTAGCGTGTTGGGACGACGTCCCTTGGCCACCCGGATCATGAGAGATCCCTCACTGGAGCGCAGTGCAACCGGAAGTCTCGCCGCTTTGATCACCTCCTTGATCTCGGCCAACCACCGATCTCGCTCTTCTCGCTCCGCTCGCTCTCTGAGTGCGAGGTCACCTGAAGCGATGTGCAACTTCAGGCTGAGCTTTGTTGGCCACCTCGATCTCTTCGCAGCGCCAACCGCTTCCACATGCCTCTTCACATCCTCGGTCACCGTCTCCTCATAGGCCTTGCGCCGCACTTCACGTTGATGCGACACATGAGCATCGAGAAGCTCTTGTGCCCCTCTTTTCGCATCCCATAGATGCCTCGTCTTAGCTCGCCCCACTGACCTCCTGATCACCTCCTTCAGGAGGTCAGTTCCCAGCACGAAGTTCTCCTCCTTCTGCTGCACCCGCCAGATGACCGCTCGCAGGAGGTCCTCGTCGCAATCCTCCAACGTCGCGAGACGAGTCACGGACCACCCTGCTGTTTCCAGCGCGCTGGTCTGTTGCTGATCTAAGCCAGCTAGACTACAGACCAGTGCCAGGTCATCTGACGGGTCCATGGCGGCGAAGCAATCGCCCCACCACCCGAGAATGGGGCGTCTCGAGCCGCCACTTATCAGCGTTACGTGACACACCGTGATCTACGATCAACCAGTCATATATAGTTGTTTGCGCATAATGTGCATGTATGATACTTATGCACACAAACAACTGACATGATAGTACACACAGAAAAGAACCAACCCATTTCCTATCAACGATGATGCAATCAAGCCACTGTCAAGCGGATCTTATCAATATCGCTGAGATCCTGGGCTTACAGAAGCTCGTGAACCAAAGAGACAAAATGTTTTGAGCTTGGTCCGGCGGGAACTTGAAGCCGCAGGCCAACAAGAGCAGGATGCGAAGCCGAGCGTCGCTGATTTTTGGATTTGGCCAATCGTTTGCGACCAGTGAGCGCAACTTCTTCTGCCGGTCAATGTAGTCTCTGCAACCTCTGCTTTCAACTGGGCCGTGGGAAGCGCACTCAAGCTGAAACACTGGTGGTTGTATCTTTGCCAAATTCGCGGGGCCAGGTCCCTTGTTTCTATTGGGATGTCCTGCCCAACTCAACTCAATGTCAAAGACCTCAAATGCACTTCGTGTCCAATTGTTTATTACCACCTCCACCTCTGCTTGTGTAGTTACCACCTCTACTGTTCACTACTAAAACGTTTGCAAAGCAATTCTGGATACTTTTATGTGGTAGTTTTCTCCTATAAGCACCCACTAGAGAGAGCACGCGCCCAACGGCACAGAACCGTACAAACGCACTTTCCACCAAAGCCTGGCCAAACCGCATGGCACAGCGAAATCAATCGAAATCACCCTTCAACATACGGTTTGTTGGTCTGATGGAAACTTTACACCGGAATGTTTTAAAGATGTACCACAGCTGATTCATGGTGAGGGATCTTGCGACGCTCATTTTATGAAAATAAAATAAAGGATCCTGTAAAGGGAAAAGGAATATGCTAGTATGCTTCGGTTTGAAGGTTTTGATTGTTTTTTTATATTTGTTTACGTCTATGTTATATTGATATGATATGACTTAACATTTGTTTATAATATATACATTCAAAAAGAATAAAAACATCCCAAGCAATTTTTCGGTGTGCAAGCTCTTCCCAGGTTCTCATTATGGTCCCCCTATCCTGAGGACCACCGAAGCTTTTGAACATAGGGGGCTTACGCCCGTGATATAGATATGTTGGAAGTGATTAGCAACAAGTCAGTGATTACCCTCGCCCCAACGCAAACTTCGTCAGTTGTTCCACCAAACAGTCCGGTGATGTCGTCGTCTCTGAGGCACCATGGTCCAACAGGGTTGAGTGCAATGCACTGCGGAGATATGCCCACTCGCTGTCCGGGCCGTTGTTCGACAGGAAAAGGAGGATGTTGGTCGCCTGGAAGAAGAGCCAATGACCCAAAAATCCGAAAAAAGGGCTGGTTGCTACCGGGAAAGTCTCGGGTCACAAGCTTTCATTCGCCAACATGCATCTAGTTTCTGATGGTTGACTGGCAATTGCTTGAAATCAGTACGCGAAAAGTCGCAGAATCACGACAGCGAGGCATCTGGGGCTCGGGCAAACAAATCAGGTACGCATGCCTGTCGCGCCATGAAAAAAACCCTAGGTGCAAAACGATGACAATCTAGCAACGGTGTTGGACCAAATGGTCAGACCGCTTGAAACTCCAATTCTTTGCATGCGAATTGCCTGAATGCAAGCGAAGGAGGAGGAACGGCGCTGATTAGACTTCATGATGTCACTGCACTCCTAGCCAGGATCATCTTGGCCATCTGGGTGATTCCTACTTAGACTCAACCCTCAATACGGGGGTGCGTCAGAAAGGGATCCCCAAAAAACAAAGGTTTTCGTATTGTACTGTCGCTCCATATCACAAATCTGATCAATGCTGACTCATTTATCTAGCGCGAGCATCACAAAAAAGAAAACCAGAAAAGTCCCCAACAGCTGGCTGGGCATGGACCCCCATAGCTCTTGGGGAAATTGTCCTTATAAGTCACAGACCAAAAGCCCTCGCCGTGCCAGAAATGATCGCCATTGCCAAAAGCCTTGCAAATGCATACAAGAAGCAATGCAATGCAGTCTACTTGGAACCCGTGTTCCCTTCATTGCGACCCTTGGCGAAAACAAAGGGAGCCTTCCATTCCCAAATAAAGAGTGCCAGCCGGCTCCTGGCAAACACAGCACGCCATCCGGGAGCAAAACCCCATCGACACGTCGACTGAAACCAGTGCACCACCGACACGTCGGCTCGGATCGGGCAATCGGTCCTGCTTTGGGCAATCAGCGCAGTCAAGCCCCCAATGACCTCGGTGCGGTCGTGCGCACCCTCTTAAAACCTGTTTTCGGTGGGGTCTGCGGTTCTTTTTTTTGGCGCGCGGAGTTTGGGGCGCCAAGTCAAACTGGGCCAAGTCCGACTTCTTTTGGGATGTGTTCGTTTTTTGGGAGCCAAGCCCATCTGTGATCATCTCTTAATCACTTCGACTTCGCCAAGGTCGGAGCATATCTCCACCAGGCGGGAGCCAGAATGCAAGGTCGGCCACACTCGGCGGAACCCATGGATGAACAACATAGCCACTGCCTCAGATGCCACAAAGGTCGTATCACACGATAACCATCGAGCTGCGAGCTCACGTTTTCCGGCCAAATGCAGTCCAGAGCTGCGGGATACACTGACAGCAATAGCAGCCCAGGACGAAGAAGGCCATAAAAAACCTGGCAAAGAATGGCATCAGCCGGATAACGACGGTTCTTTTCGTCTCGCACTGGTGACCGAGGTCTCAACTGGCAAAGACCTCCAATGATGCCCTGAACACAGCTGATCGGCAACGTAAGCCACATGCAAAAGACCTGAAGCCCAGCAAGGCAGGACCAAAAGTCTTGAAAGAAGCCAAAAAGTCCATCCAAGCAAGCAGGACCAATTCAGATCATCTGGGCGTACCGACCTATATAACAGGAAGACCTCCCAGGCGTTCTATTACCCCCTTTAAGATAACCAAACAGACCAGTCCACCCAGCCAGGGGCGATCGGGGGTCTCCCAACTAGAACACACCCATCTGTTGCACCTATGCCACTTGGATCGGTCAATGCTGGGCGATCTCCCAGCTGCCCAAGCTGCCCGATCGACGTCTCGCCCACGAGTCACGCGGTCGAGCTTGAGAGCCAGGTTGCAGAGAGCCACGTCGCATCTCCCGCTACGTTCTGAGGTGGTGCATAGACAACCTACCAAATGCATCCAAATGCACAAGAAACTGCCTGATTGAAGGTTCACGAGCATGCAGCATAAGTTGATCCCCAATCGACTTGCCCAAGAACTGCCACAGTTGGAGGAGCATTCCATTCTCCACTACTACAGTTTCGATTCCGATCCATGCTTCAATCATAGCTTGACGGCTGCATGACAGCTGAATCATAGCTGAATGGGATGATGCAGTGCTTCTTTCCCTGGCCTGGTTGAGTGTATGTCTACCGATGTGCTGAACCCTGAGATGTGCCGCTCACTGCGATTGACTGGAGGTGGCAAGGATGTGAAGCCGAACCCTGAAGATAATTAATGGAAAGCCGTTTAGAAAGGGCAGCTCACAAAGAGAGAGGGAGAGAGGACGGTGACTCTATTTCTTTGCGATCAAAGCAGAAAAATATATAAGATAAAAATAAAAATAAAATGGAAGGGAGCATACCCCTACAATGTGTTTGCCAGCAGGAAGTGCAGTCCGTCCATAGCAGTCCGTCCATGTGCTTACAAAACCAAAAGCAGTCGCCTCGTTGATGTCGCCCCACCCAGCAGGGGTCTTCAGTAAGGCTGTGTCCGCCATCATTGGGGCCTCGGTTTCAGCGTTTGGCGGGCGGGGCGGACTTTCAAGGGCACGCGCCGCCGCATCGGTGAAGACGGGGAAGGCCCGGGAGACCAACGGTGCCCTCCGGTGCCATCCACGAACGTCTCATGTCCCAACCACTTGCGAAGCTAAGAAGCTGCTTCGATGATCTCCGATGATGTCGGCCGCTTTGGCCTTCACCAGCTATACGAGTTGTGACCCTCTCTTCTGAGCCAAAGCTATCGATTCGAGACATGGGTGTGCTAAAAAGTCGCTGGCTGCGGCGGGATGCAGGAGGCTGCTTAATTTGGGGCCTCTGTCGAGTACAACCAATTTCACTTATACTACTTATATAAGCGCATTCAAAAAAATCGACACCAATACACAAAATATGGAATTCTCGCCTCAAGAGGTGGGTCTGAGCAGTTAGTTCCTGGTTCAATGCCCCTTCACTTCGCTTGTTTTCCGAGGTCTGAACTTGGATCCACCGAGTGGGCGAAGCCGGCCTCCACGACGAGGGTCTCAGGTCTCCTCACGTTTTCTGGGTACTTTGGTCATAGAAAAAA